TGATCATCGTCCCGATTGACCACAGTCCCGATTGAAGTGTTCGGGGTGTGCGCCGAGCGCGGGTTTTCGCCGGTCGCCGTATCGGGACACGTCGGCAACACTCGGCGGTATTTGGCTCCTTTTTTGAAAGCGTTAAAGAAGTTTAAAAAAATGTGGGCGCACCGCGTCCCTGCCTATGCCCGGCGGGTGTTCTGCCGGGCGGCAGAGCTTCCGGCGGATCGCATGCCGGCTAGATACGATGCATCTAAGGAGGTGCACGGGATGCATCGTTACAACCTACTTTGTTGTCTTGACGTATTTGATTGGAACAATTATAACATAAAATTTTTTTACGAAGAGTCTGTAATGTATTTAAAAATTTAAAAATTTTTCAAAGCAACACTTCATATCATTAATAATGATCTCTTGCATTTTATAAATAGAACTACAGCGCCATGTTTTTCTGGGTTTATGTTTTGATTCTATTAAAGGTAAAATATTAATTGCTTTACTTTCAAAATCCATTATAATAGGTTTAGAAATATTATATACATGATAGATAGTTTCTGCAAAATATAATTCCGAAGAAGCAGTATGTTTATCTTGTCCGCAAGACATATTTACGTAATCTCTACTAAATTTTGATGAAGAACATTTTGTTGCATGTGTCAGACAAACTTCAATTTTTTGTTTACATTTATTAAATATTTTTCTCATTTGTGGAATATAACTTTTTCTTATATAAAAGCACCATTTTGTTATACGTTCAGCCTCCAATCTATTTTCAAACAATGACATTCTAAGAAGCTTTGATATGTTTCTAATACACTTTTCTTTATTATACTTTATATTCTGCTTATTTTTATATAATAATATATTGTTTTTATGTAATCCATAATATTCTTTTTTCGATTTCTTTATATCATTTTTATGTTTTTCATAATATTCCTTTCTCGATTTCTTAATATCATTTCTCTGTTTTTTATAATATTTATTGTTCGATTTTTTTATATCATTTTTGTATTTTTTATAATATTCTTTCTTTGATTTCTTTATATCATTTTTGTATTTTTCATAATATACCTTATTGAATTTTTTAATATTATTTTTATGTTTTTCATTATATAAATTTTTTTAATTAAGAAATTGTTTCTATGTAATTCATATTTTTTATTAAAAATGTTTTTTTTATTTACGCATATAACATCATTCTTATCTGAATAAATGTCACAGTTCTTCCTTGTTTGTTTTTATTTCTATCCCTATCATTATAACTATTCATTTTTCTTTTTATACCATGTTGATCTCTAGTTAAATATTTAGTAATTGCAATATTATTAGTATCCACACTATTCTCACTGAATGTATGATTAATTTGTTCTAAATTTATTCCTATAACTTGAGGGAAGTGTTCTATTCTATTTGATTGAAACACTTCTGCTAAATGTTGACGCATTAAATTATGGTCATATATAATTTTATTTGGTTGGAGATCAAATAAAAGAGATACTGCAATGGCTATTGCAAAAACCCCGCAATCATTACCATTAGGTTGTGATTGGACCGTTGGAAACTGTACTGGTTGCTTATCAAAGGAGTAAAATGGATATAATTTTTCAAGATAGATTTTATAATGTGTATGTAATCGTTTTATATTCAATGTGTCATAAATATAAATCATGTTGGTATCGTAATAGCTGCAAACCCAGTGGCCGTCTAAATTAGTTGCTATATCGCTGCAACTATGCAATATTTAAATATGTTTCTGATTTTTAGGAGCAGGTTCAATTCTATCGGGACATTGAACTTTTCATGATTCGCGTGGTCGATATTCTGAGCAATTCTTTAATAATAAATTAAAATAGTCAATATGAATATCTTCTAACCATTCACCTGTAAGAATAATCTGTATATATTGCATACTTAGAGGTAAAATATTTGCAACAAAACTGGCACATTTATGTTAATTTTTTTTGTTATAAAACTTACATCCGTTATTACATCCGTCTTTTTCTGAATACATATAGGGCAATTATTTGCATAATTTATTTCATAAATTATTTCCCTATATGTATTCTACAGATAAAACAAAAAATAATTTATTGCATAAATTATTTTTTGTTTTATCTGTAGAAAGTTTTATCTTGCATAAATTATTTTTTGTTTTATCTGTAGAAAGCAATAATAAAGAGGAATTTAACATGTCATGACTGGAGTGTTCAACACTGTCACATTTATTTACAATATTACTATTTTTATTTATTATATTATAACAATCAAATAACTCTGATATTTTATCAGGTTGCTTTACTTGATCCATCATTGTCATTTCAGTTATATTGTTTTGTAATTTTATCAACTGTACAGATTTTTCTTGTTCAGCTTTCTTTTGTCGACGTTTTCGTGAGCTAATGCCTCTCTTCTTTGTACTTGATCTAAAGTAAAAAGCTTTTTAGGGTCAGTAGATCTTATTATTCGGGGGAAGTGTTCTATTTTACTTAATTCAAACATTCGTACTAAATGTTGACACATTATAGTATGATCATACATAACTGTATCTGGTTTAAGACCAAATAAAAATGATACTGTAAATGCAATTGCAAAAACACCACAATCATAAGTATTAGACTGATTTTGAACTATCGAAAATCGTATCGGTTTTTTATCAAAAAAATAAAATGGATATAATTTGTTAATATATATCTTATGATGGGCATACAAACGTTTTAAATTTAATGAGTCATAAATATAAATAGATTTAGTATCATAATAGCTACAAACCCAATGTCCATTTTCATTAGTAATTGTATCACTACTATGTAATATTTGAATATGTTTCTGATCCTCACAAACAGATTCGATTGTGTCGGGACATTGTATCCTCCATGTTTCACGTGGTCAATATTCTCAACAAAATTTTAATAATAATCCGAAGATCGATATGAATGTCTTCTAACCACGACCCTTTAGCTAATTGCACGGAATTATAAATAATAATTGATATGATGAATATTTTTTACAAGCGAGATCAGGAACATCTATTTGCATACAGTATGTAGCAAATCGCATAAGACGTGATGAACTTTATCGTCTTATGCAATTAGTTAAAGGGTCGTTTTAATCATCAGTGGATTAGGTCTACTGAGGATATCACTTAAAAAAAACGCGTCAACAATAGTATCTCATAGGTGACGTGGAAAGCTATTGCCATACGCCCGCTCCTGAGCGCCGAGCGGCTCGTAGACTTTGCGCGAGATGGCGAGGTAACGGGGGACGCGCTAGGCGGAGCCAGCTGAAAATCGGCCGAAATGTGCAGTTCTTGCCGAGCTCTGACATAAAGCAAGACTAGCGCTAATACTAATGCAGCTGAGTCTTTTATTCAGCGCTTATAGCAGCCAATTTTTTAATGCAGCGCTTATGGCAGCCGAAACTCAGCGCCAGAGAGCAGCCGCTATAAAAATGAGTATCTCAATACTCAGTGTCACCTGGAAATAGAGATATTGTATTCATTATTAATTGTAATCTATGATATTACACATAAAATCATTTAATTTGTAACGTTCCGTTTTTCCCCGGAGATTAGATTACGGATAACTCGTCGGATTCGGGGTAATGAATGGTGAGCGAATTTGTGATGTAAAAGAAAAAAAAGTATTTATTCAAATCAAGGCGTGTATACAAGTCGGGTGTGTGTCTCGCTGCGATTATAGATGTGAGCGTGTTCGAGTGTATGATACTATTGCGTACTATTGTGTATGGTACTATTTGCGTGGCGAGTATAAATGTGAGCGTATTTGCGGTATAAACTGTTTAAATGCGCGTGCAGAATGCAGGTGGTTGAATGCGCCGGTATAATCGTGGTGCGTGAACTCGATTTCTCGCTGGTATAATACGCGTGTATAAAAACGTTGTTTTGACGCGTGCGGATATGCGCTCGGTATCGGTCGAAGACCTCGCGTTATTATGACGGTGTTTTTGTCGCGTTTCTTGCACGGGGAATCCCGTCGTTCCGGGAATCCCGTGTACGACGAAAGAGCCGGTGGATTCCGAGAAACAACAAGTTATTTTCGCGAAGTAATATGCGATCTCCGCGAACTGAAATCTCGCGCGAATAAGTTGGAATCGCGTTTGAAAACAGCTGGCCTCGAGAACTCTCGATCGGGGCGGCTCTGAACTCCACCTTCCGTGGGTTTTGCCAGCCGGGATGTGGAGGAGCGGATGGAGGCAGTACCCCGCGCGATAGCGAGAACTCTCGGCTTAGGCTGAGCACTCTCAACCTGCTTGATCGGGGCGGTAGTGCCGGTTTTCAGGTGTCTGGTAAATTCTCTTAAGCGTACAGCTTAGAGCGGAACAGGAGAATGTATCTATTAGCCGAAACACGGCCTTTTTATACCGGCTAATTACCCGCGTCGGCGCGCGGCGGTTTACCCCTTCCGAACGGGTTAATTGCGGTACGGTACGGTCGGGCCCGTTCGGAGGGATTCGGGTTTGCGCCGAGCGCGGGTTTTCGCCGGTCGGTCGGTCGGGCCGCGTCGGCTTCGCTCGGCAATTCTCGACCGTTTTGGATTTTTACAACGGCCCCGGTTTTACAAGTATTAAAAATGTGGGCGCATCGCGCCCCTGCCTCTGCCCGGCGGGTGTTCTGCCGGGCGGCAGCTTCCGGCTGATGTCATTGCCGGGAATTCGGAACGGTGCATCGGAGTGCACCGTTACAAATTCAATATTCATTTTCACATACCTTTATTTATATTAAACAAACGCTTGAAAGCCAAGAGTAATTTGTTTCTTTTAGTAGCTGCAATAATAGAATAAATTGTGATGTACATGTACTCAGCAACAGGAATGTCTTAATATATAAATTTATATATATATATATATATATATATATATATATAAATTACAATTATTTATTAATTATGCCAAATCTTACAGAAAAAGAGAGAATATCTCTTTTAATGATGCGGAGTTGGGAGGATCGTAAAAGGTCTTACAATGAAGTTTTGCAGCTATTCAACCAAACAATGCGCGATGAAAACAACGCTATCTCTAAATCCACCGTTGAAAGAACAATCAAACGCTTCGAGGAAACTAGCAGCGTGAAAAATCGCCCAATACCTGGACGCCCAGTATTAGCAACTAGTGAAGAAAAGCAAATGGATGCTGCGCAATCATTCGTTGAAGATCCACACCTCAGCATTCGTAAAGCAGCTCAGCAACACGACATTAGTAGGGGGTCAATGCATAACATCTTAAAAAAAAACTCAAGTTTTACCCATACAAAGTTCACCTTGTACAAGAATTGAGTGAAGATGATTTTGACCGACGTTTAGAACTTTGTGAGGTGATGATGACGCGAATTGATGCCAATCCAAACTTTCTTTACCAAATAATATTTTCAGACGAGGCTACTTTTGAGTTAAAGGGTAATGTCAATAGACAATTGTAGATTTTGGAACGACGGCAACCCTTGCTGGATGATGGAAGCTCACACTCAATATCCGGAAAAATGCAACGTCTGGGCGGGTATTCTAAATAATCAAATAATTGGTCCATTTTTTATTGAGGGTAATTTGACGGCAGCAAAATATGAAGAAATGTTGAGAAATGAGATAGTTCCGGCAGTTCGGCAGATTGTAGGTGACAACTTTGCGCAAACGTGGTTTCAACAGGATGGCGCGGCACCTCATTTTGGTAGAGATGTTCGTAATTATTTGAATTTCCTAATCGCTGGATAGGTCGAGAGATTGAATGGCCACCACGATCACCCGATTTGTCGCCTCTAGATTTCTTCTTGTGGGGTTATCTAAAAAGCAAAGTTTATAAGACAAACCCAAGAAATCTGAATAATCTTCGCCGACGAATCGTCGATGAAGTTGCGCAGATTGATTCCAATTTCATCAGGAATGCTATTTCGGCTTTTCATGATCGGATAGCACATTGTCAAACCGTAAATGGTGCACATTTTGAACATCTGCTGAAATAAAAATTCAGATCTATCCATCTATCTTGCCTTCATTAGTCTGATAGTCCTCTATCTTGCTTCACTGATCGGATAGACCTATCCTGCTTTTGTTGATCAAATGATGTCAAGAGCTTTTTAAATCAACATTGCGTCCCGCCAGCAACACACACACACAAGAGGTTAATCCGATTGGGCAACCTCCACGCGGTACACCTTGGGTAATGCTAATGCCGACGGTACTGTAACTTTTAAGTCTCATAAGTCGAAAAATACTTAACGAAAAATAATTTTATTATAGTGTTTTGTAAAGCTCTTAACATTAGCTATTAGATTCTGTTATGAAAAATAAGGTATTTCGTTTAAAAAAATTGATGTGACCTTGACGTGACCTTGACGTGACCTTGGCCACGCCATTCAATGTCAAACTGATAACATCAGTAAATAGATCTTTTTGAACCCTACAATTTTTGTCTGAAACATTTTTTTCAGAAACGTCATCCTTTCAAGAAAATTCGGGGTCTCCATCTTTTTTGGACACCCTGTATATTGCGACGTTTATTTTCAATTCAAATTTAAATTATTCGCGACACTCCTCGAGGTGGTGAAGGGGAGCGTGCGCGGGGGAGCGAAAACGCCGTCAAAAAAAAATAGCGAAATTAATGTACTCGCGCTCTGAGGAACAGAGATGGAGGGCGTTTTCGCGCGAACCGCGGCAGAGCGGAGGCCGTTTTCGATATCTCGATAGGTTGGGCGCCAGATGCGATCTTTCACGCATCACGTTTTCCACGAAACGTCAAAGAACGCGAAAAATAATAACTTGCTTCGCCACGGGCCGACTAGCTCGCCTAACGGTAGAGGGGAGGGGTCTTGGAAGAAAGTCAATTGATTATGCGAGACTTCACTAATTCAAAATGCGACAGACGCAATGACCGATATCGATAATCACGAGAGACTAACACTCAAATAAATTACGCGATTTTAACAAAGAAATATAACAAATTTATTAGTAGAGAAATAATATAAAAGAAAAATGTAAAATTAAACTTGAATAACAAATCAGATTGAAAACGACGGTTCACAATAAATTCAAACAAAAAAAAATAAGAAAGCACAATACACAATCAAATTAATCCTGGCACGAATAATAAGACATTATTCAAAGCAAATGTCGCTTTTCCTCGGTCGCTTGCCTCCGATCGCCCGAAAATTCACAAAATATCGACGGCTCGATACCGAGCCTGAACGATCGCGAAATACGAAAATGGCGACGGCGGCAGGACGGTCGGCTGGCGGACCGAATCGCGTATGTGGCTCACAAATAAAAGGATGGGCAACCTCACTGATACGAATCCTCGTGCTGGGGAAGGTCCTCGGCCTCGTCCTCTGCAAGTAGCTCGGCGACGGCGACAGACAAAACTTACAGTAAACGACAACGACGACAAACTGTGTCTGACTTAATCGAGCGCCCGCACCAGAATGATCCCTGGATCTCTCCATCCCGGGTCGATAGCGGCGTCAATGACCGCGTAGAGGGGTGCGCAGCCCCGCGGCCAATCATATCGCGGCACGCGAAAGATCCTGGTGCCTTGCGAAATGCGAAGTATTTCAGCGCCTGGCGCGCAACGGCCTCAAATTAAAATTCCGCTGTCGCGGGCCCATTCGTAATGGCCCGGTGGAGGTTCTGCCGTTGCTCTCTCTCCTCTCGGAGGGTAGCCTAGGTCGGGCCTCCGTCCTTACTATCGGAGGAGGGGTGATGTTACCCTCCTCGGCGTCCTGTGGTCCGATTTCACTGGCGCTATTTCCTTCGCTGTCGGTTGTCGAAAAGCGCCATGTCACCGGTCGCTCGAAGTTCCTCGCTGCCCTCTCGCCCTCCGGATCTTCTCCGGCGGGTTGCCCGAAATTCGCTCGATACAAAGAAAATGACAAATAAAATTAATAAACGCGAAAAACATAATAATATTGTTCGTCTCTCCGGGGAGCTCGATAATGTTCTCTCGATGCAGATTCTGACGCGGCCGCTCGACCCGCGCTCCGTTAAAATTATCGGGGCGGATGGACGCGCGACAGGACGGCAACGTCACAATATATATATATATATATATATGTGTGTGTGTGTGTGTGTGTGTGTGTGTGTGTGTGTGTGTGTGTGTGTGTGTATTTTTATATGTATATAGCATTAAGGGAATGCTGTACTCGACTGTATTATCGACAAAATTACCATTTTCGTAGTTCTGGTCTTTCGTCACACTAATTTGACAGAATTGAAAATATTTATGTAGGATTGCAATACATACATTGCAATAAATAATCCTAGGAAACTTCGATTTTATATGAAAAACGAGAAAAAATTATGAAATTACAGTTTTCCTTATCCATTTTTATCTGAATATGGCGTCTCGAATTGTAGACGAACTGTAAACTCGTCATAATATGTACTTCATATAAAAGCTATATAGTTTGTATAAATGTAAAAACAAGTTTGCTTGGGTCGAATTATACGGAAAAACATTATTGAACCTTTGAAATCGAAATTAGAAGTTAAATATAAAAGTATAGTATGTAGAACGATTCGTGTGTATGTATGCGTGAGTGTAGGTAAAGTGGAAATAAAATATAGCCACAAATTAGTTCCAAGATATTACGATAGATGTTTCATCTCCATCTCCATCTCCCTCTCCCTCCCTCCCTCTCTCTCTCTCTCTCCATCTCCCTCTCTCTCTCCCTCTCCCTCTCCCTCTCCCTTTCCTTCTCCCTCTCTCTCTCTCTCTCTCTCTCTCTATTTGTATAAGTTATATTGAATAATAAACAACAAGATTATTTGTTCATAATAATCGATATAAATCACATACATAGATCTTATATATATATACGTATATACGTATACACATATAATTCAACGTAGTTCTAAATTTGAAAAATAAGTATAATTTAATAGATAATAAGAATATTTTGAATAAGTATATTTTAATCTTAATAAATAATATTTAATATAAATATGAATTTGAAAATGAAAAAACTTAATATTTAACATAAAGATGAATTTGAAAATGAAAAAATACTAATTATAATAAATAATATGTAAAATAAACATGAAAGAATAATTATAATAATAATAATTACTATTCTTATTTTTGTTCGAAATATTATAATTATTGATAATATTATTGATATTTAGTGTTTTTATATTGAGGAGTGTTTTTATATTTAGGAGATATGGAGATAAGGAATAGGTAGAAAAAAATATGCTTAGTCTAGCTTTACAATTATTTACATATAATATATTTATTCATATATTCATATATTTCAATATTTAATACAATACTAATACTACTTATACTTACTTATAAAAGTAGCGCACCATACATTAAACACTAGCCATATATAAAATGTTTATTTTTTCATAATAAAGATTTAGAATTTTTAAAGAAAACAAAAAGACTGCAAAATATTATAAGTTATTATATAATAAGTACAGGTACAGTAAAAATCTTATTTCAGTTCTGTACAGATACAGTAAAAATTATATTCAATTTTATAAGTAATTATAAGTTACATAAATAAGTAATTATAATTACTTATGAAATTAAATATAATTTTTACTGTACCTGCACAGAATAGTGCACCGTACATTAAACACTAGCCATATATAACATGTTTATTCTTTCATAATAAAGATTTAGAATTTCTAAAGAAAACAAAAAGACTGCAAAATATTATAAGTTATTATAAGTAATTATTATATAATTACTTACAATAACTTATAATTACTTATTTATATAACTTATAATTACTTATCAAATGAAATATAATTTTTACTGTATCTGTACAGAATAACGCACCATACATTAAACACTAACCATATATAACATGTTTATTTTTTCATAATAAGGATTTAGAATTTCTAAAGAAAACAAAAAGACTGCAAAATATTATAAGTTATTATATAATAAGTACAGGTACAGTAAAAATCTTATTTCAGTTCTGTACAGATACAGTAAAAATTATATTTAATTTTATAAGTAATTATAAGTTACATAAATAAGTAATTATAATTACTTATGAAATTAAATATAATTTTTCCTGTACCTGCACAGAATAACGCATCGTACATTAAACACTAGCCATATATAACATGTTTGTTCTTTCATAATAAAGATTAAGAATTTGTAATGAAAACAAAAAGACTGCATCAATTAAATACGACGGCGACAATGCAAACAGCTACCATGACAGAGCCGATGTCACCAAGAGCGATGACGGCAATGACGTATAAATATATGAAAGAAATTGTGCATACAAATGTATAAATAAGTAACTGCATATTTAATTATTGCATCCTTTTTTGTTTACTGTATGCAGATCATAGACATATTAACATAGACTACTCATAAGGTAGCGAGGAATGTCCTCCTGAGAGAAAAAGATAGCATGAATTTATTTGTGTTTCTATCTTTTTCTGGTACACGCTAGGTACACGCTGGTACACGCTTTTCTGGTGCAATGTAAAGATATTAAAGTCAATAACTTGAAATTGCATTACGCATGTGTCAGAAAAAGACAGATACACAAGTAAATTCATGCTATCCTTTTCTCTCAGGAGGATACTCTTTGCTACCTTATGAACAGTTTATGTAAATATATCTATGATGGAGTAAATATGTCTGTAAATAATACTTGGATTTTTAAAATTTTTGAGAAAAGTTTATTATATTAGAGATGTCCAAAATTGTATTAAAATATTGTTAGGTATGGTCGCTAGTTGTAAATATTGAAAAATATAATTAGAATATATTTATAATAATAACATTTATCTCTTATTGTTTGTAATCTGAAAATCTATTATAATCATAAAATCTTTCATTTATTCTTTTAATTCGTATTTATTTTTAATTACTAATTTAATGTACCATATAACGCTAAGACACTTTATGTTTTGAGAAACTTATGTTATAAAAACGTATTTTCTTATTGTCTTATTTCATGTATTTCAGAGAATTAATCAAGTCGTGCATATAGTAAAAAGAAAAGTATGCAATAATTAAATATATATAATGAAACAATCGCGCATTTAAAATATGTGTTTAAAGAACAGCAAAATGTCAGACAGAAAATTATTTCAAAGAAAATTATACTTTTGAAAGAAAATTATACTTTAGAAAAAAAATTATTTGAAAGAAAATTATACTTTAGAATAGAAGAGGACCTACATTGAAAAATGTATTCTATTCTAAAGTATAATTTTCTTTCAAATAATTTTCTTTCTAAAGTATAATTTTCTTTTAAAAGTATAATTTTCTTTGAAATAATTTTCTGTCTGACATTTTGCTGTTCTTTAAACACATATTTTAAATGCGCGATTGTTTCATTATATATATTTAATTATTGCATACTTTTCTTTTTACTATATGCACGACTTGATTAATTCTCTGAAATACATGAAATAAGAAAATACGTTTTTATAACATAAGTTTCTAAAAACATAAAGTGTCTTAGCGTTATATGGTACATTAAATTAGTAATTAAAAATAAATACGAATTAAAAGAATAAATGAAAGATTTTATGATTATAATAGATTTTCAGATTACAAACAATAAGAGATAAATGTTATTATTATTGTAAATATATTCTAATTATATTTTTAAATATTTACAACTGAGCGACCATACCTATCAATAATTTAATAAAATTTTGGACATCTCTAATATAATATACTTTTCTCAAAAATTTTAAAAATCCAAGTATTATTTACAGACATATTTACTGCATCATAGATATATTTACATAGACTGTTCATAAAGTAGCAAAGAGTATCCTCCTGAGAGAAAAGGATAGCATGAATTTACTTGTGAATCTGTCTTTTTCTGACACATGCGTAATGCAATTTCAAGTTATTGACTTTAATATCTTTACATTGCATCACGCGTGCACCAGAAAAATATAGAAACACAAATAAATTCATGCTATCTTTTTCTCTCAGGAGGACACTCTTCGCTACCGTATGAGCAGTCTATGTTAATATATCTATGATCTGCATGAAGTAAAAAGAAAAGTACGCAATAATTAAATATGCAGTTACTTACTTTCATATTTGTATGTACATTTTCTTTTATATTTTCATACGTCGTAGCCCCTGATGATATCGGCTATGTCATTGTAGCTCTTGTCGCCGTCATATTGTCGCCGTCGTATTTAGTTGATGGTGTCTTTGACTCCGTAGACTTTTGCATTGTCGCCGTTGCTGTTGGCACCATCGTGGATGTTGATTTGCGACGATTCACCTCCGATTTTGCTTCCCGCCCTTTTGCGGATACAAGCGGAGAGAGAACATTTCTTATTCTCTCTATTGGTTTACTTCTTCCTGAAATCCTTACGGAAAAAAACTACAGTAGATTACAGAAAATTATATTGGTGATTACATAAAAATATTACACGAAATTACTGACTATAAGTATTGTAATATACTGTAATATTTTCGCACATGCTCGAATTACAGGAAAATATTACAGGAAAATAATCTGTAATATGTCATGCGCTGGGATTACAGGATAAAGCCCTGCGTACAGTAGAGGAACTATTAGGAATAAATATTAACTATAATATTAAGATTTTAAAATAAAATCGAAAAAAACTTTAATATAAAAGTATAAATTCGGGTATAAATATAAAGGACTTTTACAAATTTATTAGCCCTTCCTAGTCCTTATTTATACCCGAATTTGTATTTTATTTATATCAGAATTTTTTCGATTTTGTTATTTAAAAATTTTAATATTTAATATATTAATTCTTAATATTTTCTCTATTTTGTGCGCAGGGTCTAATAATACATCAACATAATATATTGAATTAAATATAATTGCTTATTTTTTATATAATTTGTTCAAAAACATCATCGCTGTATAATAAAAAAGGGCGAGGGCCCAAGCGATTGTTCAGCGGTCCTGGCAGCCGATAGCGCGATATCGCTTTGTCAGCGCAATTTAAAAACAGCGCTCGTCCTTCCCGAGGAAAATAAATAAATCTTTAACGCTCAATTTGAACGTTGAATAAGTAACTGCCGAGTTCTAGAAAAATCGGGATCTTTCGAGAAGGGCTCCACTATAAATTGACGCGCCCGCGGGACACCGCGCCTTTTGCTAAAAAGTCTTCAAAGCGCTCGCTTAAACTTCGATTATCGAAAAACGTCTTTCCGTCGCTCGCGGATTAAATTAATCGTCTCCGTTGCTCGCGGATTTCGAAATTCTGCTCGAATTTCCCGATTGGTTTCGCGTAATTGAAATTAAGATTGTGTAATTAGTATTTATATTTTTTGATTATAATAAATGACAATACTAGCAAATATACACATAGACTTATCGTCGACTTTCCTTTACTTGTGGACTCTCATCCTCCCGCGTCGCGCTCGCATCCCGCGTTAATCTCGCGAAATCTCTAACATTTGCTGGTCCTTCGAGCCGGATTTAGTGACCGGTTTTTTCTCTACGACGCGGTGTGAGTGCAAAGTGGTGTGGTTTCTCTGTGCTCCCAAGATCAGTCACCTGAAATTCAAGTCGTCATGAGTTACAAGGCAGAGCTAATAATCACTGCCGCAACGGATCTCCACGGCAAAATCGCCCGCACTCACGAGAACCTGATGAAGCTGGGCGCTGCCAAGATCACGATGGGCGCCGTGGAAGCGCGTCTGCAGTCCTTGGAAAAGTATTGGGCTAAGTTTGACGCGCACAACGACGAGCTTTTAAATTACCGCGACCAAGTAGCCGGTTCAGAATACATAACACTCGACATACCTGCTTTGGCTGAAGAGGCAATGCCTACCTCGGCAATAAAGGGCTGCTGTTGGACCTTCTGCGTAGCCTCAAGACTGAGGAAAAGGAAGCTAGCACGAAGGTGTTAGAGCCGTCCTCACAAGCTCCTCGCACGACTCTTCCGAGGATTCAGCTACCTCATTTCTCCGGAAAGTACGAGGATTGGCCAGCTTTCCGCGACCTCTTCCAATCGCTAATCGGAAGGGACATCCTCACGTCATCGGTCGAGAAGCTCCATTAACTGAAGACGTGCCTGAAGGGAGAAGCAAAATTATTAATTCGAAGCCTGCCCACGACAAGTGAGAACTTCGAGCGCGCATGGGATGTTCTCGTTACCTACTATGAGAACAAGCGGCTCCTGGTGCGCAGTTACATCTCCCAGTTCACATCACTCCAGAAGCTGAAGAACGAGTCCGTGGTGGAGCTGCGCAAACTCTGCCATAGCGTGAAGAGCACCGTAGGCTCACTGGAGAGCATTGGGCGCCCGATCACGGAGGGCGAAGATCTTTTCGTGTACCTTGTCGTCGACCTGCTCGATCCTCGATCTCGCCGCTAGTAGGAGAACTTTATAAGTGATTCCAACGATCCACCTTTGTATGATAAACTGCAGCTCTTCTTGGATCGTCGGCTTCACACATTGGAATCGTTGCAGCCAGTCAAGGCCGAGGCCATCATTTCCAAGCCGAATCCGAGTCTAACACAGAAGACCCGCACTCTCCACGCACGTAAGCAGGACGGTAAACGAGGTCGCTGCTCCCTATGTGTCCAGGATCACTATATAATGTTCTGCGATCTCTACCAGAGCAAGACGGCGGAGGAAAAGAGGCGTCACATCGAGACGAACGATTTGTGCCTGAACTGCTTGGGAAAGCACAAGGTAAGCGAGTGTGCCTCCCAAAAGACCTGTTCGTTGTGTCGCGCGCGTCACCATTCGACCCTCCACGAGGCATGTTCAACAGTCGAAGGCGCTAAGACGTCGCACTTAGCGCAACATAAAACCGAGGCAACGATGTCAGTGCTCCTCGCTACCGCACGCGTTCGCGTCATGGACCGGTTCGGCCGCGCGCACACAGCACGCGCTCTGGTTGATCAGGGCTCGGAATCCTCGCTAGTTTCCGAGGCTTTAGCCCAGCGTCTTCGTCTGGGTCGGTCTCCTACCTCCGTCGCCGTATATGGAATCGGCGGCAAGCAGACGGGCCTCGCACGCGGTCAGGTCACTCTCCAGATCCGCTCTCTGTGCGACGGGCCCTTAATAAACGTGACCGCCTTGGTCTTCCCCCAGCTCACCCTCTACGAAGGCGGAATCAAGGCCGATCGTCGAGCGTGGACGCACATCCATGGACTGGAACTCGCCGATTCGGATTTTTTGGCAACGGATCCTGTGGACATTCTTCTAGGAGCTGACGTCTACGCCATGATCCTCCAGGAAGGACGGCAGGGGAAATTGCGAGAACCTGTGGCGCAAAAGACGGCGTTGGGCTGGATATTGTCTGGGGCCGTCGGTACGACTTCCACATCGCGCCATGCTTCGGCTCATCATTGCCTAGTCCAGGAAGATCTGGGCGCTCTCGTACAGAAGTTCTGGCAGCAAGAAGAATTATCCGATGCCGCTGTAGCTCTCTCGCCCGAGGATCAAGAGTGCGAGAACTTCTTCCGCCAAACACATTCGCGGTCCGCGGACGGCCGGTACGTCGTACGCCTGCCGGTCGTTTCCCCGCTGCCAGACTTCTCGGCAATGCGCTCCACGGCGCTGCGAGTTCTCTTCAGCATGGAGAGACGTTTCGCTCGGGATCCTCCCTTTCATGCTCTCTATGCGGACTTCATGCGGCAATACGAAGACTTGCACCATATGTCTCGCGTGACTCCGGACGCCACATCACGTAGGCCGGTGCATTACTTGCCGCATCACGGCGTCCTACGAAAGAGCAGCGTCACCACGAAGCTGCGCGTGGTCTTCAACGGTTCAACGCCGACTGCCTCGGGCAAAACCTTGAATGACCACCTAATGGTAGGCCCGAACTTGCTGCCTCCGCTCGCCGACGTGCTACTCCGTTGGCGACAGCACCGTTTCGTCCTAGCCACCGACGTCGAGAAGATGTTCCGGCAGATCCTGGTGCATCCGGACGATAAAGATCTGCAAAGGATCCTGTGGCGTGATTCCCCGCAAGGCAGCCCTGCGGAATATCAGCTGAGCACGGTGACCTACGGCCTGGCGTGTGTGCCGTTTCTAGCAATGCGCGCTCTGAGACAATTAACCGAAGACGAAGGAAAGCAGTACCCTCTGGGAGCGGCCGCGCTTCTACGAGACGTCTACATGGACGACATCTTGACCGGAGCGTCGACGATTACGGAGATCCAGGAAATGTGCAGCCAGCTGTCCAGTATCTGCATGGCGGGCGGCTTTCCTCTCCGGAAATGGTCAGCCAACGACTCAGCTACAATCTCGAACATCCCGCCGGAGCATCGGTTGCAGCGCGAGACCCGTGACTGGCGACCGCACGAGGCTCACTCCACCTTGGGATTGTAGTGGCACCCCGCCACGGACGACTTCTCCTTCGCCACCCGGCACATTGCGCTGCCATCCGTCACCAAGAGATCCGTGCTGTCCTTGGTGGCGCAACTATTCGACCCTCTCGGCTGGCTAGCGCCGGTCGTGGTCCGCGCCAAGATTGCCTTCCAATCAACTTGGCTTCAAGGACTCGAGTGGGATGCCCCGCTCGACGACGTCTCCGCGTCAGCCTGGGTCGCCTTCAACGCCCAGATACCAGCACTCGAGCAAATCCGAGTACCTCGCTGGATCAATCTGAATCCATCTTGCACCCGCGTCGAGGTTCATGGCTTCTCCGACGCCTCAGAACGAGCGTATTCCGCCGTCGTGTACCTGAGAACATGATCAAACGACTCGTGGATTGTCAGTCTAGTCACCGCCAAAACAAAGGTCACGCCGCTCAAACAGGTGTCGTTACCTCGCTTGGAGTTGAGCGCCGCCGTGCTTCTCTGCCGCCTAGCCAAGCACGCCATGGAAATCCTCGATCTAACTGCGCCACTTCACTTGTGGACGGACTCCACCGTCGCGCTGGGCTGGATCCGCGGCCATCCATCCAGGTGGCAGACCTATGTCACGAACCGCGTCTCCGAGATCCAGAGGACCACCCCGCAGGCTGCGTGGCATCACGTACCAGGCCAGGACAACCCAGCCGACTGCGCTTCCCGAGGTCTCTTCCCCAAGGAACTGCTGGGTCATCCGCTGTGGTGGCAAGGTCCGCCCTGGCTAAGGTTAGAAGCCGCCGCATGGCCGACTGCCGTCGATCACATCACCGAGGAGCACCTGCCGGAGAGGCGCACCCGAATCCACGTCAAGACCACAGCAGCATCGACGAGCGAGGCCACCGAGTTGGTGCGATTCTCCTCCCTGAAGAGACTCCTACGCGTGACAGCCTGGTGTCGACGGTGGCTGAGAGTGAAGGAAGGCCATGCCACTTGCACTCACCGGAGCTTCCCCGGACTCCGTCCGCAGAAGAGATAGAAAGAGCTCGAGCTTGTTGGATCCGGCGAGTACAGTCTGAAAATTTCAGGACCGAATTAAAATTAATAAGTCAGGGCCTTGCACTTAATAAATCAAACTCACTTGCTCGCTTTACTCCCCTTTTAGATTCCGAGGGTCTCCTGCGGGTTGGAGGTCGGCTCAAGTACTCCATCTTGGCCTATGACGAGCGTCATCCCGTCCTCCTGCCAAAGGGCTCGCACCTCACTCGGCTAATCGTGGACGACTGCCATAAACGAGCGTTGCACGGCGGAACGCAGCTCACTCTATCATTAATCCGCCAGCAATACTGGATTCCACAAGGTCGAGCACTTGTCAAAGAGGCTATCCTGCGATGTCTTCCTTGTGTGCGATGGCGGGCGGCGACCCCCCAACAGTTGATGGGCGATCTTCCACGAGAACGCGTAGTTCCAGCTAGGCCTTTTCTTCACACCGGGGTCGATTATGCCGGGCCAATTCAACTCCGCACAACCAAGGGGCGCGGACACCGCTCCTACAAGGCCTTCGTAGCAGTCTTCGTCTGTCTTGCTTCCAGAGCCGTACACCTCGAAGTGGTCTCCGATTATACGGCCGAGGCCTTCCTTGCGGCTCTCAGACAGTTCGTCTCCCGCCGAGGCATCTGTCGCAGTCTTCGGAGCGACTGCGGGACAACCTTTGTGGGAGCGAATTCTCAGCTGAAAGCCCTCTTCACCGCGGCACGTCGGAAAGCCACCGGATCGTCGACGGCCTCATCTCCGAGAGGATCGAGTGGAAGTTCAATCCTTCCTCAGCACCGCACTTTGGAGGTATATGGGAGGCCGCAGTCAAGTCGCTCAAACATCATCTCTGACGGGTAATTGGCGACGCCAAGCTGACATACGAGGAGATGAGCACCCTCCTCACTCAAATCGAAGCGTGCCTTAATTCGTAGCCGCTGTAAGCACTCTCGGACGACCCTGAGGGTCTAGCTGCGCTGACGCCCGAACACTTCCTAGTAGGAGCCGCCCTGACTGCAGTGCCCGAACCGTCCTTGCTGGATCAACCGACGTCTCGCTTATCCCGCTGACAGCTCCTGCAAAAAATGCGAGATCACTTTTGGGAACGCTGGTCGAAGGAGTACCCCCACTCCATAACTCACCGCCCTAAGTGGTTGCGCGAAGAGACGCGCTTCAAGGTCGGCCGACTTTGTCTTCTCCGGAACGAGCTCACACCGCCTACGAAATGACCACTCGCGCGTATCACAAGAATCCATCCCGGAGAAGACGGTCAAGTTCGGGTAGTCACCGTGCGCACCGCCGCTTCCGAATTCGTACGGCCCGTCGTGAAACTCGTCATGCTACCCATCAACGACCGTGGGGATTACGAGCCTCAGCCGCAATAGATCGGATCGCACGACGGGCAGCGTATCCTCCGCCAGCATATCAATTTCGCCAAACGCTCTTGGCGAGGCGGGCGGAAATGTTCAAAAACATCATCGCTGCATAATAAAAAAGGGCGAAGGCCCAAGCGATTGTTCGGCGGTCCTGGCAGCCGATAGCGCGATATCGCTTTGTCAGCGCAATTTAAAAACAGCGCTCGTCCTTCTCGAAAGATCCGAGGAAAATAAATAAATCTTTAACGCTCAATTTGAACGTTGAATAAGTAACTGCCGAGTTCTAGAAAAATCGGGATCTTTCGAGAAGGGCTCCACTATAAATTGACGCGCCGCGGGACACCGCGCCTTTTGCTAAAATGTCTTCAAAGCGCTCGCTTAAACTTCGATTATCGAAAACGTCTTTCCGTCGCTCGCGGATTAAATTAATCGTCTCCGTGCTCGCGGATTCCGAAATTCTGCTCGAATTTCCCGATTGGTTTCGCGTAATTGAAATTAAGATTGTGTAATTAGTATTTATATTTTTTGATTATAATAAATGACAATACTAACAAATATACACATAGACTTATCGTCGACTTTCCTTTACTTGTGGACTCTCATCCTTCTGCGTCGCGCTCGCATCCCGCGTTAATCTCGCGAAATCTCTAACATAATTTTTATATATAATACACATATCCTTTGATGTAACGACATTATTATAAACTAATAATTTTAATAATCTAATAAATTAAATTTTTTACTTATCTGCTTAAAATAAAACTTATTTAAAATTAATCTTATTTAAAAAATAATTAAAAAATAATTAAATAAATTCTTTGTTTATCTTTTATTGCAGTTATTTTTTAAAAATTCTGAAATCTAATTTTTAAACAAATTTTTTGAAATAAAACATTTTAAAAATAATGAAAAAGTAATAAAAAAATGATCAAATAAAATTATTTATCTTATTGCACATCAGTTATCTAAAAAACAAATTCTAAATAAATCTAACTTTTTAAAGTTCAAACAATCTTATTGTATTAATACTGATTATTTTTATAATTTATTAGAATTTGTTTAACTAATATGGCTTATATTGGATTAATAATCAGTAGTTACCGATTTTATATTGCTTAAACAATTACTTAGCGAAGTCTGACAATTTCACCAATCACAACTTTAAAAGTGTTATATATATATTGTTGAACTTATTATATAAGTTAGATTTCGCGAAACAATTGCTTAAATAATGATTATAAATACCGGCTTCAGAATCTTTGAGTTGGATGACTTCAACAGATTGTAAAATTGAATGTTTTAGATTATTGAATTGAATTGACGGATGTCACTTTTTTCTTAGCATTGTTGCACTTGCTTCGAACGGCACTATGGAACAATTTTGTATTGTCGTCTGTCTTGCCGAATTTCTCGTAAATAAAATCTGAAAAAGAAAACACAGAATGAAAAATCTCTTTCTATAACAATGTATCAAATTCAATTATGTACATATATTTTGAATAGCATGCATAATTCAGATATTTTAAACTCAATTTTAAATATATTATGTATTTTTATATATTATGCACAAGTATTTGAATGTTAAATTGCAAAATTCTTACTTTCTACAGCTTTCAGCGAACAGGGTCTAATTCTCGGTTGATTTTTATCCGGATTTAAAGATTTATTTGCATTGGCTATAGATCCAGTCAACTGGAGTTTCTTAACTCCGTTTTTTCATAAACCAAACTGAGAAGATCACAAGTTAGCTTCGAAACGCTGCTGTCATTGACCTTGCTCAGTTGAGTATTTGTGATATGTTTGAATCCAAAATATCTCCCTCCAGATATCACCTGAAAAATGTTTACGTGTAACAATTTCGTATATTAGCAGTACATTTAGATGTAAATATATGTCATTATAACATCAATTATGTATAATTATTTTACCTTTTCGGATGTCGAATTTTCTTATTTTCATTATTACTGTCTTTATAAGAGACCGCTTTCATTAAAGCAATGTTTTCCTGAAAAATTTATTTTATGTAATAATAGAATTTTTTATAATGTCAAAATACTCAAAGTTGCACGATTAGATACACTAATATAAAGACACACATATTTATATAAACAACATTTATTTCAGATGTATGTGAGGGTTGATATTCATTTTGGTATTTTTTATTATATCAGCATTAGTAATCCAGAAATTCTAACCATAAACTCCTATATTAGAAAATAAAATTGTTAAAATAGCATTTACAAATAAGCTCGCGCGTTGTCAATTATCTATTAGATTATAGAATTAACAAATTTCATGACAATTATGTATATAAATATGTAATAAACTATGTACTTTTTGTTTCAATTGTTTCACATACATAAATTGTCTTTAAGTTTTATTTTCCTATTTTTAATACATAAGAATTGAATGATTTATATATATATGCAACTAATATAAAAAATGTATACTTTACTTTATCCATTGGATTCAAGCATTCATCATTCTGTGAACTGTTTTTCTCTGGACTGTTTTTTAATTACAATCAATTAATATATCAGTAGCCATAATTTGGATTCATTTCTTAATTTATCATTAGTATATTGGAATCGATTCAATAATACTCCAACTCTATATAATATAAAATAATACCAGATATAACAATTTAGTATTACATACAAGATATTTGTGTATATATTCACCAAAACCTTTGATATCCCTTACGGAAAGAAACTACAGCCAGAAAATATTACAGTTGTATAGTTATTACAAGATCCCCTGTAGTTATTACAGAAAGAATTACAATAATCTGTAATTATTACACGCTATAGTTTATGACATTGCCGTCCTTTAAAGCGTCCATCCGCCCCGAGATTTTACGGGGCGCGGGCCGAGCGGCCGCGCCAGAATCAACCTCGAGAGAGTGTTATCGGAAACTCCCCGGAGAGACGAGCGATATCGTATCTTGTAAGAATTTTTATTAATTATATCGATATGTTTCTTTGTTTGTAATAAACAACGACGGGCACCTCACCAGAGAAGATCCGGAAGACCGGAAGTGCATCCAGGAAGATTGCCGCAAGACGCTTGTCGACAGCTAACGGAGGAGTTAATAGCGCTAGAAAGGACGATACCGGGGGAATTCGCCCGCGTCCCAGGGTGGAGGACGGAAGTCCGATCAACGCTACCCTCCGAGGAGGACAACGACAGCGAAGCCTCCAACGGGCCCTTGTACGGGAGCCCGCGGCAGCCACTACATAATTCAAATCGAATTAATTGCGCGCGAAGCGCTAAAAGCGCCGTGGATCTCGCGAGGCGCTAGGACCTCTCGCGTGCCGTATCCTGATTGGCTGCGCACCCCACTAAGCGGTCATTGACGCCGCTATCGACCCCGGGCCGCGAGATCCCAGGATCATTCTGGTGCGGACGCTCGCGAAACTAAGTCGATTGTTAGCTCTTGGTCGTTTGTGCAAGATTTGCTGTGATTGTCACCGCTGACGAGAAACCGAGCAGAGGACGAGGCCGAGGACCATCCCCACGGGAGAAAGCGTTATCGGTGAGGTTGCCCATCCTTTGTGTAAGCCACGTACGCGATTTCGTCCGCGTGCCGGCCGTTCTGCCGCCGTCGCCATCTTTTTCGTGTTTCGCGACCGCTCGAGCCGTTTGCCGAGACGGTGATATTTCGTGAATTTGTCGGGCGACCGGAGGCAAGCGACCGAGGAAGGACCATTGTAGCGTCGGTGATAAATTGATAAAGCAACGTTCGTCTCTCTCCGGGTTTCGGATGTTCTTTACGCGAAGCTATCGACCGGCGAATATCGACCGCGTGCGCGAATCGTGAAAGCGAATACCGCCCGGGTTGTCGTACCGCTATTGTCGCCGCGTAGAATATCCCGTGACGTATCTCAGGGCGATTTTTGGATGTCTGATTGCGTGTATGTCGTCGTTAATTGTAAGAGTGCGTCTGAGCGTTTTTGATATTTCATTGTAGAGTGAGCGTGAAAGTATTTGCGTCATTGTCGCGCTTATTACGCCGCCGAAAAGAGCGTAATAAAGGGTAACAGAATCTGGTCGTCTTTGTCGCGCTTATCACGTCGTCGAATAGCGCGTAACAAATGGTATGTAGTGTCTGCCGAATTTATCGTGTGTGGTGCGAGTTAATCGCCAGAATATTGAGAGTAAAATTGAGCGATTTGGGCGGAAGAAAGAGGCGAGATATCGGCGGAGAAAATTCTCCGTTTGCCATCGGCTATCGAAATTTGAGAGTATCGTTCGCCTATCGCATACGTGATCCGTCTTCGCAAAAGTATTCTGTATTTTCGGTTACTTAGGTTGTCGAATCAGTAAGCTGACGATTTGTTTCGCGAACTAGGAAATTGCGGGGAAGATTCCGTTGCGATAAGTTGTAGGTCTGGCTACCGAAATCACGCTATCTTTTGAATAATATCCGCGAATATTTCCGTGCCGAAAATCTTTGGTATCCCGTAAAGCCTCGCTCTGTTCCGC